ATAATATTCCATTCGAATATTATTTATATTGTTCCAGAAATATGAACTATTGTCCCATAAATATTATACATTGTTCCATACCATATGTGTGAAATGTACTAATGACTGAAATGCGTGTTCCCAAGAAAATTAAAAAGCATGTACCAATGACTGAAATGCGTGTTCCCAAGAAAATGCATGGGAAAGTGATAATTAATCTCAGCCATCCATAATCTCAAAATTGATGGTGTAAAATTGGTTCTTATTTTAAGAGGGTTCTCATATAAGCCTTGGTTCTCTCATGATCCCACCCCTATATATATATATAATACAATACAGTTATTACAAGTGGATACATGTCCTCTTTATGGTGTCTCTTTAGGTATCAATTTTACTTTCCACGTCCCTAATTTAATTGATGGCAGTTTATCAAAATAGAAGACACTTGCTTATTAGATTTGAATGCTATTTTAAGACAAGACTGAGTTGTTAAAATTTGAGAATCAACGTAACTTTTCATTTATTTATACTTACTATTTAAGCATGTTTTTTTAAATGCAAAACCTTACTATTTAAGTATGTAGTATAAAGGATTACCTAATTTTTTTAGAAGTGTACAAGACAAAAAATCATCTCGTCAAAGAATAGGCATATGTCTTTTATTCTAATCGTGTTTCCCATTCTTATAGCTTATAAATCATCTTTAGTACGTATAATTAGAGCTGGCAATCCTGACCTGGATCCGACGACCCGATTCATGACTAGAAATTGACCCGAAATAGCAATCTGACATTGACCCGAAATCCGAAATTTACCCAACCCAAACCCGGTTGGAAGTGGAATTGAGCCGATCTTGACTCGATGTCCAAAGTTGACCCGACTATATCCGACCCGAAGTTTACCTAATACCCGAAGTGACTTGACCTAAAATCGACCCACTATCCGAAGTGACCTAATACTTGAAGTGACCCAGCCTGATTTTAACCCAAATTAATTATTGAACCAAACAAACTCAAAACCCAAAGTAACCCCAACTAGAATTACCTTATACCCAAAATTATAATACGAAGGATACTATTGATCAAATTTCTGCATCAGCATCCATGTCCAACTAAAAAATAAAACGAAGCACTTAAAATTAAAATTGAGGGAGTATTATAAATTATTCAGAATAATAATTATCATAACAATATTCTGAATAATGATGACAAAAAATAATGATATTAACACTAATAGTCTTAACAATTTTTTTTTTAAAGACAAGTAGAGAGGGTATTTATTATCATAATATATTATTTCCGACAGAGTTATGACACTAACAATCCAACAATTATATTTCCTAGAAAAAAACTAACAATTATAACAATATCATTTATAAATTTACCAATTTGAAATTGACTCAAAGTATCCACTTGAATATGACCGACTCGAACATTACACGACATTTGGACTCGAAAATTTACCAGATCCAAATTGGCTCCGCTAGAACTTACCTAACCCGAACTCGGCCCGAACTAATCTATTGACCCGAATTGATCCAAAACCTGACCCGATCTGAATAATTTATTGAACCAAATTTGACACGTCTCGAATGACCAGTTTGCTATGTCTACGCATAATCCCATATTGCGTATATTAAAGTTTCCTATTAGGACTTTTTTATCAACAATTGTTCTGCATCTTAATCTGACTTTTTTGAACAATTACCTTATATTTTAAATTCTGCAAAATACTACAACTACCTTTTCCTTTTTACGGTTCTTGTACCACTACTTGATGACAGTTTGGTCAAAGTTTTAGTTAATAAAGCCTGTATTAAATGATATCAATAATTTAAACCAAATGAGAAATCCAAATTTAGAATTGTAGATTAAAATCAAAATTTTAGAGAAAAATACAAGTAAATTTTGTGTAAAATAAGCAAATTGAAATAACAAATGAATTGACGCATGTTCAAATTCTATCAATTTAGCCCCAAATGTAGAGTCATAATTTCAAAGTTCTAATAATGAATTAGGTGTTACTAAAACAAAAAAAAAATAAAAAAAATAATAATAAAAAAAAAATAAAAAAAATATTAGGTCAAAATTAGATGAGCTGAAATCACACTACTAGAAAATAGTTGTTTTTCTACGGAAAAAATCCGTCAGAATCACTTGAAAATACATCGGAAATCAACTTTCCGTCGGAAAGGTATGTCGAAAAAACGTTTTGTAGGAAATTTGCCTTTTTCCGAGGGATTTTCCGTCAGAAAACAAAATTCCGACGGAATTATATCTGTCGGCGCGTGGTTTGACTGAAATTGAGAATTTGTTGCAACTTTCCGACGAAACGGATTTCGTCGTTATTTACCTCTTCCAATGGAATATTCCGTTGTAAACCGATAAGTTTCCGACGGAATTTCCAGTCGTAATTTCTGTATTTTGCGAGAGAATTTAAATTCGTCGGAATTTTACAATGCGGTTTTCCGTCGCAACTTTCTGATGTATTTATTTTCCCTCGGAAACTATAGCCTTTACAACGGAATTTTCCATCTGAAAATCCATCGCAATTTTCCGACGGATTATTTTTCCGTCGCAGCAGAAGGAATTTCCGACGGATAATACCATAAAAAATTCTGTCGGAATTTCAACTGCTAATTTAACAAATCAATCGACTTTTTTTTGGAATTACCACCATTCGAAACCTATATCTCCTGCACCTAATTCACGATAAAACTAAATTAATTTAATTACGAAAATAATATATAAATTGTATGCGGCCATAAAACATAATCCAAACTAAGTACATGTACATACTACATAACTACAACTAAGCTACAGCCGGGGTACCCTACCTTGCTCCGCCACTACCCGGGTCATCCTTGGGGCCTCGACTCTGAGGTTGAATGGTGGAACATGTGCCGCTGGGGAAACGATCATAAACTCATCCCACCTCTCCTGGTTTCTCCTCTCCATTGCGGCCATTTGGGCTTGAAGTCGGGCTTCCATCTTGACTTCCAATTCACTCCGTATTTCACTGCGAAGAGCTTGCATCCTATGCTCCATATGATCCTGCATTAGAGAAACAATGGAAGGTGTGTAATGCTGTGAAGACGTGGAAACTCGACCCATCCGGTTGCCATAGTACAACTCTGCACTTTGGCCAAGTCCCTTCACATGACCCTTCTTGTTGTGACCACCCGGAATCTCCCAGTAAAACTCATTCGCACTCTTCCGAATCCCTTGAGTGCTTGCTTCTTCAACCTTCTTTTGGTAGGCCTCCTACAAGATATACATATGAAAAGGAGCAACTTACTAAATTTAAGGAAGCATTTTCAACAAAATAGAACCAGGTAAGGCCTAAGTGACTTCTACTTTGCCCATTTTCTTCATTTCTTACCAAATGAACTCTTTCTCTCTCAAAACATGTCAATAATAGGTAGTTTTAGGTGTACAGGGCTTGAAATCACAAAAAAAAAAAACCAATTAACTAAGTAAGTAGAAGCATTTTCAACAAAATAGAACAAGTAAGGCCTATGTGACCTCTACTTTGCCCATTTTCTTCATTTCTTACCAAATGAACTCTATTTTTCTCATAACATGTCAATGATAGGTAATTTTAGGTGTATAGGGCTTGAAATGACAAAACAAACCAATTAACTAAGTTTTAGGAACCATTTTTAACAAAATTCATCCAAATATGGCCTAAGTGACTTCTACTTTGCCCATTTTCTTCATTTTTTAGCAAATGAACTCTTTCGTTCTCATAACATGTCAATAATAGGTAGTTTTAGGTGTATAGGGCTTGAAATCACAAAAAAAACCAATTAACTAAGTTTTAGGAACCATTTTGATCCAAATTCATCCAAATATGGCCTAAGTTACTTCTACTTTGCCCATTTTCTTCATTTATTACCAAATGAATTCTTTCTTTCTCATAACATGTCAATGATAGGTAGTTTTAGGTGTATAGGACTTGAAATCATAAAAAAAAACCCAATTACCTAAGTTTTAGAAACCATTTTGGTCCAAATTCATCCAAATATGGCCTAAGTGAGTTCTACTTTGCCCATTTTCTTGAAATCAATCAAATAAGTTTAGATTCTAAGTTATATTGAAGTTGTTACCGCAATTTGCTTCGCTTTGGTGTTGGCTGGCACTGTGCCTTTCCCAGGCACATCCTTGAAGTGCGTCTTCAGAAAAAGCTCAGGAGCTGTTGGTAGCTGGCCTTGATTCTTCGCCGCCTTTGATTATATATGCAGAAAATCATCGTTATAAATGTCACACCACCATTACATTGTAATGCACAAATGCCTTCTATTTTACTTGCCTATTAAACAAACATACCATCCTTTTTGCATGTTGGATAACTGACATAGAACCCTGATAGTGGGTTGGTTCAACCATATTTTCCATCGAACCGCCCCTTCTGTTCTTCCTATTTTGGGCAGACTACTTCTTATACGTTGGATCTGTGGCAACAATGTTCATCATCTTCTTGTGGACTTCCTGATTGAGTCAGCCTGGCTTGGCGCCATTCATCTTGTGTGTGACTGTGTGGAACATGTCACGCAGGCAAGTTGCAAACTTCCTTTCAAACGTGATCTTCACATGCTTGTTCAATTGAGGTGCCCATGTGAATTGATTCTGCGAATGATAAAAATTTAAAAGTTATAAACTCAACTCAATCAATACAGTTAATAAAACATGTATTAACTGAGTTAAAAATAGCATACGCTGAACAAGTTCCACCAGTGTTGTCTCGTTCCTTAATCTACCTCTCCATAGTTCCTCCAAGGGGCTCGATAGTATCCAGTTAGCGTACCGGAGACCGTACTCCTCACCTTGTTATCATCAAACCTACAATAAATGAGAAACAACAATGTTAGATGATCATCAACAAAAAGTAATGTAGAACTTGTTAGAAGTAATAAATAGGTTACTTTTTCGAAAATAAGAATATAAGTCCAATTCATTAAATGTACGTACTTACCAGAGCGTAGTAGGGTCTAATACCGGCAGCTCTGTATGCTCCTATGTCTGATCTTGTGGATGGGTGAAGGGGTGCTCCAGAGTGGCACTTAAATCATGTGCCTCTGCATCACTAGTACATAATTGAGTTTATGTAACACGTAATTAGTAACACTTCTTAAAATGCAAAATATTAGTTTTATAAGTAACACTTTGATAACACTTTATTAGAATGTAAACACTTAATGTAACACTTTTAACATAAGTAACATTTCAAAGTAACACTTTTTAAATTAGTAACATTTTATGGTAACACAAAGAGGTATTACATTATTTTTAGGTAAATTAAACATTTATAATAAAGTAAAAGTTAGTGTTAATACCCAAATTCTATTAAAAAAAGTTGGGTATTACCGCCAAAAAAATAAAAATAAAAAAAACATTGGCCTCATTCAACTAAAACCGCTAGAATCAAAGAAAATCAAAACCCTTTTCGATAAAAAAAAAAAAAAAAAAAAAAAAAAAACACTCATTTCAACTTTAATTTACTCCTAATAATCTTAGGTTTTATTAGTCCTGCTCTGCTCTCACCCTCCCACCACTGCCCTCCTTCGAAAACCGACATCGGCTTGACTGCTTCTACGGCGGCGTTACTATCGAAGATATTAAAGAAACCCTAAATGTTGAATCTTCAAGGCTGTAGTCTGTACCCACTTCTCTCGCTCACCTCCATTGAAGCGTACTTAAAAATTCTTCATTAAACCAACATATGAGCTTTCTCTTCTCCAATAAAGGAGCTTCTTAGGTAATACATTATATTTTATTTTTTTTTGTTTATCCTTCAATTATCAATTTCACAATCTTGGGTTTATCGTTGATTAAATTATCACTATAGTCAATTCAGGGTTTTTCTAAAGTAAAATATTGAACTATAGTATATAATTACTGAACTTTTGAAAGATTATACCGAGCAATTTTGTCAATTTCTATAAGCGAGAAGAATTTCATGTGATTTAATGGTAATTACTTCTATTGCTACTGAACAAATGGAAGATTCATATGCAACCACATTTTAAGTGGAATTGATCTTATTTTGACAATTTTAAGATTCAAAGTTATAGGCCATTGTTAATATCTTGAATTCTTTTCTGTTGATATGAGTAAATTTATTTATTTTGGGATGGTTTTTTTTTTTTTTTTTTCTTGCTGACATGATTTTGGGGTTGTTTGGGCTTTTTTTTGTTGTTGGATAGCAAATTGAATTACTGGAATTGGGCATTGTTTGAAATGGGTATCCATGGTGGAAAGTGGGGTGATAATCGTAGTATGTGGGCTTTGAAACTTGATTTAGATGAGTTTGGATATAGTCAATGAAATATAGAGTTATGCAAAATTCCATTTGTATTTTGTTGCTTTGTTACTTGAATTCTTCTTTTCACCTATATACCCATGTGTGTAATTTATTATAGTGGAAGTTGGAATTGGGTAAAGTAACTTATCCTTACTTGTTGTTACATGAGTGTTGTTTCGGAGTTTTCTGATGTCCTGCGGGAGAGTTACAATTCCGAAACTGGAACCGGACGCCTGTACCTGCAAAACAACGGAGACTCCTGGTGGTGGGAGCTCCGCCTCCGACGGTCAAGTTAGTACTTGATTAAGGAGTAATTAATGCAGAAATTAAAGTGATTGGGTCTCTCTAGGTGAGAGTGTGTAATTGCTTAATCTGTGTTGTTCGCGTGATCTGCATGTAATCCGCCTTAATGAGGATTAAGGGAGGTATTTATAACCTCGGGAAACGTGCCAATCCTAGGTTTAGGTTAACCTAGGGCTGATTGGGCTTCCCTCGGAAGTTGGGCCTGGGTGGCCGGTTTCTCCATTAGGCATGGAGTATGCCACGTGTCATGACATAATAGGTCCAAGGTGGACGAATAAGCGTGTGCCACGTGGCAAGCCCTGACAGTTCCAACTGGGGGACACTTGGCAGGACCTGATTGGCCCACGTGGCGCATTCCGATTGGTGGGAGCAAAATCTCCTAATCATTTGCCCCTCACAGGTGGCACGTGACTGGTCACGTGTTACCTGTGACAGGTGTCGCACTGTAACAGGCGACGGTCTGCTACAGGTGTCACTCGGCGAAAGGCCGAGAGATTCTCCCGCCCAAATTATGAATTCTGGAAGTGACCCTTCGCCTTCTCACTTCGCCTATATAAGGGAGTGTTGACTTCAGTCATTTTCACACTTAACTTTTTGAGAGAACATTCGGACCCTGAACTTGCTCTGACATTTTGGACCCTTTCTGCCTACCGCCTGTTCTGACAAGCCGACTGCAAAGGATTTTCAGAACTTCATCAATCGTCACTCGTTCAGGTAACCGTCGGTTCTCTTACTCTTAATTTTCTCTTTACTTTATTCTTTTTTGAAATGGCACCACGGAAGCACACGACACGACCTAGGTTAGTGATCAGCCGGTCACCGGGGACGGCTGAATCTAGAACTAGGAGTGCCGCCTGCCTTTTTCTGGACCCATCTTTACCCTTTATTCAAAGTCCGACTGTATCTGTGTCTATGCAGAGTATGATGGCCAGAACAAAAAAGACTGCCAGGATCTCAAACTCAGACGGCTCCTCCCACAGGGTGCCGATTAGTGAAACATCTGACCAGGCGCCAGATGTGGAAGTGAAACAAAGCGGCTTGAAAGCCGGCAGTTCTGAGGGAGGAGTCAAAGTGACCCCTTCCCATTTTACTGTTGACAATTCTACATTCTCTCCTGCTCCTTTTAAAGGAGAGGAGGCGGGCCCCTCCGGGAGAGGGGAGGAGTCGTCCTCTTCGGACTCGTCAGAGGACGATTCCGAGTCTAGCTCTTCTGGCCATGCTTCTCTGGACACAGAAGAGAAAAACAGTCGCCTGCAAGAGGCGAGGCTTTCTCACGCAGTTGAGAAGGGAGACGATTGGGCGGAGCCATCCGCCTCTCACCGAGAGCAAAATACCCCCTACTACTGCACGGTACCTCGGGGCCGGATCACAGCCATGCAAGAGAAAGTGGAGAGCTTTATCGCAAACCACACAATGGGCCCCGGCTTTTTAGTGTTCGTGCCGGATCCAGAAGACACAGTCGTCTGGCCGGCTGGTACCAGTTATGATAGCGCCTGCTTTGGTTGCTACGAGGCGGCCATCAAGGTTGGGCTGTGCTTCCCACTACATCCGGCTGTTCAGCGGATCTTGGATGAGTATGAGTTGGGGTTATGGCAGTTAGCCCCGAACTCCTGGGTCAACGTACTCGGCTATGTGGCCGGGTGCGAACTGCACGGGGTGGAGCCGAGCTTCGAGGCTTTCGCCCACATGAACTACCTCAGCCAGACCCCTAAGGCAGGCGGTACCGGCTGGTATCAATTGACGAGTCACATGGGCTACCTCATGACGAGAGGTAAAGCAAACAAATGGAAGAACTGGCGGAGCACCTTCCTCATCATTGAGAGTTCAGAAACAGAGCTGAACAAGCGCTTCAACAGGTGGAACAGGAATCCGCCCCTTCTTGCAGGCGGCCGCAGCATGCAGCCTGTTCCCCCCAAGGCTAAGAAAGAGATCCTAGATAAAGGACTCTTCAAAGTAGAGTCGAAGGTGAACTCTACTTCAGGGGTACGAGAGCAAGTACCCCTGCACTGCGTCCCGAGCTTCAAATGGCTCTACGACGAGTACTTTTTGGCCGCCTGTGGCCTCAGCAGTCGGTGCTCAAGAGGTAGCCGGCCTGTCGAATACTCTGCTGTTCCGTGCATTTCTTGTTATGACTTTTACTAACTTTGCTAATTGTTTTTGCAGCGGACGCCATGAGAAAAATTACCGCCTCCAAGGCTGCGGCGGCCATGTTACGGGCCTCCATCATGCAACAGTCTTCAACCGACTCCCCCAACAAGGGGGCACCCTTGGTGGGCTTCGAACCTTTCACCCTCTTTTTGGAGTTGTGTTTATGCATATAATGACTCTTTTCTTCTTTTTTAGACGGGCGCTCCAAGAGCTTCTTCTTCCCAACAGCCGGACCCCAAGGCCCGGAAGACGACTGTTGCGAGCTCTCCTGGTTCTGCCAGGAAACATGCGGCGGCTGAGAAACAGCCGGCCACTTCTTCTAAAACTCCAGCTGGGCCACCTAGAAGTATGAAATTGTCCTTGTAAATTTTAGACTTGCTCCCTTCTTTACTAGGTCTAATCCGTTTGTATATGCTTGATGCAGCCGGCCCTCAGGAGCCTGACTTGGTCGAGGTGGCCAAGTCTATGATCAAGGTCATTCCTCCAGCTGAAAGGGAGGCAGTCAGGGGTGTCGGCACCCTTGACCTAGACGGGATCGCAGGGGTCCTTGCTGAGGTATACTTAGCATATTTTTGAGTATTTGAATTCCAGGACGCCTGTTTTCTTTTTTGTTTGGAAACTGACGCCTGTTCCCCTTTTTACTTAGGCCCTGCTCCGAGTGAACGGCCTTTGCAAGCCGCTTGACCGGAAGAACAAAGAGGTAAAGGCTGCAAAAGCTATGGCCGCCTCTGACTGTGATAAGGCAATGTTTCAAATTGCCCAAAATGAAGTTCTGACCATTGATATTCTTTATTATCAGGCGCAGGCTACCGCCGCTATCCGGGCTCAGTTAGAGGCGGCCTAGAAGAGGAATAGCGAGCTGGAGACGACCATCAACAATCTCAAGGCCGAGCTAAGACCTCTTCGCCAAAAGATGTCCTCATACGAAACCTTGGATAAATCCTTGGCGAGCGTAAAGGTACGCCTGGTGACCCAGGAGAAGAGTCTTACTCAGGAGCTCTCGGAAAAGGCCGAGTAAGAAAAGAAAGAGCTGGTCCGGGAGATGATGGAAGACTCTGCTCAAATCCAGCGCATGACTTGGGGCCGCCTCTTCCCCAATGCCGACTTTGCCTCATGGGAAAAAACGTACCGCCAGTGTTCTGATATATATAATCAAGAGATCCTGGCGGCTGCTGAGGAAGAGGCGTTGGAGGAGGCGTTGGAGGAGGAGGAGCAGCCGGTAGTGGCGCTTGTGCCGCTTGGGGGTAATGCATCAAAAAAGGATGCAGCTGAAGCCGAGTCCAGCAAGAAGAGTGCTGACCAGGCGGCAGCTGCTAATATTGAAGATCTGCCCCCTTCTTAAGCTTTATGTCTTCTTTCCACGGCCTGCGTGCCGTTTGTTTGTATTTACCCGGCCAGGGGGCCGGGGCTCTGAATATTTTGCCGGTCTTTAATGACCGGCTTCTTTTTAATGAATTTTTTTTGTTTTGCTTCAAATTTGTGTATTGAATATTCTGATATCCAATTGTACACTATACCGACTGTTTTACATGGCCGATAGTTGCAGACAGGTACGGATAGTTAGTCACGCCGCCTATGCCCCTGGACGACTGGTTGTCTGTTTCCAGGCTAGACGATCAGTCGACCATTTATCCAATCGGTATTCGAACCATTTTAAAGACTGGATCCCCTTTAGGCAGGCGGTCCTGTCATTTGTAAAATTAACCAAGTAGGAAAGTGGTTTGACCAAGTAAACATGATTGTTACCTAGTCGCCCAGTAACTGAGTAGTAGAGGTATCAAGCGGTGGGTACCGGTTGTTCCCCTTTATTCGCAAATGTTTGTTGGCTTTTAACTCATAAGTTGTTAACCTAGCAGGAGTTTGAGAGAGTGACTATGAGTTAACTTTGGAGTTACTCAGTCGCCGTCACTCCTGCTTGAGTAGTAAAGGTACCAGGCGGCGGAGGCCGGCTGAACCTTTTGATTCGCCAATGTCTGTTGGCTATTAACTCAAGAGGTACCCCC